CCCGGGGGTCAACACTCCCCATCCCACCCCTGTGGATTCTCAGCCGCTGTCCATCTGAAGCCAGCGGGGACTTCCACTCATCTTTGGGAAGAGCCTGCCATCTGCTGGCCAACTCAAGGAACACATGGCGGCTAAATTTGGCCCAGAGGACTTGGGTCAAGTATCATGGGGCAGCAGCGCCCAGTTTGTGGGGAGCTTTCTCACACATGACACATGCAGTTGCCCTACAGCAGCTCTGGGAGGGGGCAGGGCAGGGGGGAAGAGTCACCTTCAACCTGCAGGTGAGCGATTCTGTGACCCTAGGATAGGACAGGGGCAGGAGGGGCCCCCAGGGCCCAAGAAGAAAAGGCAAGAACTGAGGGGAAGGGGAGTCAACTATTAAGGGATTTTAAAAAGAGAGAAGCCATTCGCCTAGGAAGTGCCCTCGGAAGAGAAGCAGGTGCTGCCTAAGAACCCCAGGAAGGAACGGAAGTGCACATGTCCCTAACCAGGATTTGGGCCTTTTCCTTTGTCTGGGTCACCCCCTGTCACAGTTCATTCCTGCGGGGCGTTGTTTGCTGTTCTCTCCACCCGGAACAGTCTTTCTTGCCCCAATCCCCTTCGTCTGAGCAAATGTTTGTTCACTTTTCAGGTCTCAGTAAACTGCAGCCTCACCTCCACCAGGAAGCCCGCCCCGACTGTTCCCATCTCCTGCACCCCGACTGTTCCCATCTCCTGCACCCCGACTGTGCCCATCTCCTGCACTCCGTCCTCACCTCCTGTCACTTGGTTGTGGAACCACCTGTTTACTTGTTTACTGTTTACTCACACTCACTGGGGCACAGTCCATGAGGGCGGGGACATCGCCGCACCCCCAGCACCGAGCCCAGTGCAAGACGTAGAGTAGGACATATGTGTAGACTGAATTGACTTTTCTTGTGGCATAATCAGATACCATAAGCTAAAACCAAAACAAAACAAAACAAAACTAGTTGGAAACACATTTCCTCATAGCAACGAGGCCTCCCTGGAAGTAAATTGAAAATGATAACCTTTTCTATTTCTATATCTGTAACCACTGGGTAGGGGCTGGAGCAACAAACGGTCTTGTTTTCAGTTGTCATATGTTATAAATTAACTCGCATTCCACCCGTCTATACTCCAATCAGTAAGCATGTGGTAGACAGCTACTGTTTTGGGCCTGCCCAGCCTCCATATCCATTTCTCCTTCATGTGGTTAAGGACACCCCAACTTTATTTCAGAGAAACAACCCCCTCCATTCTCAGTTTACGTATTCGGGGCAGCTGGCCCCCTCCCCAGGCCCAGGTGTGAGCTCGCCACTCGGGCCTGGCCAGTCACTGCAGTTCAACAGCCTAGCACGTGATTGGTTCAGGGGTGAGCACATGACCCACATTAGCCCAATGAGAGTTAGCCTGGAGCTTTTGCTGGAATCATTGGCAATTTCAGACCAGGGTGTGCTGAGCTGGTGGGATGTGAGCCTACAGCTGCTGGCAGCCATGCTGCCACCATGACGGGGGAGATGGCCAGAGAGTGAAGCCAAACACAGGAAAGTCGAGCTGAGAGAAGAGAGGCAGGGTCCACAAGGCAGGCAGCCTTTTGATCCTGGTACCCAACCCAGAGCTCTTTCTGGACCTTTCTGTTACATGAGCGAATCAAGTCCCTCTTTCCAGAAATCAGTTTGAGGGCGTGTCTGTTCTCTGCAGCTGGAGGAGTACTGGCTAACATAGGAAGCAGAACAGAGAATGCGACTATTTTTTTCTTAATTTTATTTATTTATTTATGTTTACAAAATCAACACATCGTTTGCAACACTTTTCACACAGATCAGAAAACTATAATAAGCTTTTACATTATTGTGAAATTATGCAACATATCAGTGAAAAAGAGACACATGATCATTTGACCCCAAGGTCTCAAATGATGCTGGGGTTCTCAGGCTCGGGGAGCCAGGGTGCCCTTTCCCAGGTTTTGCTCCCTAGCCTCCTATCCCATCCCAATCCCCAGCACCCCTGGGCCCATCTCAGCCCTGCTTTCAGGAGAAGTAGCCGTCTCTACCCCAGAAGCCCAGAAGCGGCAGGCCTCACAGCTGTACACCTGGCGAACCTGGGTGTGCTCAGCCACCAGCCTCCATGCAGTCTCCATGTTCCTCAGCTTGATGACTTGGATGTCGCCAGCAGCGCCGCAAACACGGACCCAGGCTTGTTCTGCAGGACCTCAGGCCTGTCAAACTCTACAATCTGAGAGGTGGAGAGGGGACAGGGACAGCTGAGCTCAGTCTGGAAGGACCCAAAGGCCCCCTGTGGCCGAGCCCGAGCACCCGCCCTTCCCCAGCCCCGGGACGTGGCTCTGACCTTCCCGTTGCCCATGACCAGGATGCGGTCACAGCTGAGGACGGTGGAGATACGATGGGCGATGACCAGCACTGTGCAGCCCCGGAAGGCCTCGCGGATCGTGTGCTGGACCAGCATGTCGGTCGCCATGTCGATGGAGGCTGTCGCTTCGTCAATGATGATGATCTGGGGGGTACAAAACAGGAGTGGGGGCAGCCTCCTTGGGCCCCGAGCCTGGGTCTTGTCCTGAATCTACCACTCAGTCGCCAAGTCCCTTAGCTGGAACATGAGACATTTGGACTGAGTTCAAAAGCCACTTTGAGCTCATCATCCATCATGTTATGAAGAGAATGTTAGCTCGCAACCAAGAGCTCGCTGTTCTTTAGTGACCAGAGAATGAAGGTCTTGGAAATGAAAACATCCCAGTGGCATCTTCTTGCTTTATGAACTGCCTTCCCATTTGCCTGACTCCGTGTAGAGCAATGTCCCCACAGAGGGGGATGCACGCGCCCCGAGGGGCACGTGATGTGGAGTGGCCAGTATACGGGTAAGCGTTCTTTTCACTTGCACACATTGCTATTTATCTCATGAACGATAGGCATTTGGAAATGTAACTAGCACAGAAAGTAGGATTTCACAAATGGCACTGTTTAAGAGGAGACCATTTTTAAAAAGAGGTCATCATGAGTAAATCACAGGATACGCAAATATGACATAAAAATCATAAAGTGATGACTCAAATTTGAGAAACAGCCTAGAGAAATAAGGAGTGAAGAGGTTGAGAGGGCTGCATCCACCCTACAAGTCCTGTCCTGTCGTGCAGCTCTCTCAGGCAGAGGGGTGTCCTTTCTCCCCTGGAAGCCCTGGTCTCAGGCCCCACCACGCTCCATCTGCTCTGCCCCACGGCTCTGACGCTCTGCACCGGCAGTTTTTGTTTATCATGAATTAGCCATGTTGTGTGGTGTGTGTGTGTACACACATGGGCCAGTCTGCATACATGTGTGAGTGTGGAGGTGTGTGTGTGTGTGTGTGTGTGTGTGTTGCCTTGTTGTGAAAGAAAATTGGCTCCTAATGAGCCCAGAGAGTCAAATACGTGAAATTACTGATGAAATATTTGGAAAACATCAAAAACTCTGTCAGATGAAACTTTTTAAATGCACGTAATTTTGCCTTGGGATAGCTGTTCTCTGAGTCTCAATTTTAATAGACAAGGGAATGTCATTTTAAAAAGATGTTTAAAAAGAACATCTGAGTTTTAAAAAGAACATGCAGAGGGCAGTTTTTAAATTCGTAAGTTTCTAACCTTTTAGCTTTTTGTGGGAAAAGCACATCATGATTTGGTCCTAGGGGTGGACCATTTCAGTGCAGGTGCGGGATGTCAGGGCGCGTGGGGTCCATGCCTCACCGCCCCCACAGACGCGCGTGGAGTGGCAGTCAGTGACACTGAGTGAGCCCGTTTGGGCGGTGCCCATTGCCCTGTGGTGGTGGTGGAGGGAGACACAGCCAGTGTGCCCCCCACGCCAGGCATCCCCCGTGGCCTCTCGTGGCAGCTCAGTGGCCTCACCTTGGAGTTGCGAAGGAGGGCTCGAGCGATGCACAGCAGCTGCCTCTCCCCCACGGAGAAGTTCTCCCCATTTTCCACAACTTCTGCTTGCAGTCTCTGGGGGAGTTTCGAGATCTGTAATATCGGGGAAGACGAGATGTAAGTCATGTAGGTCTGTGGGCGTGTAGGCCCCATGGGGTAAGACCTGACCCTCGTAACTCTCCTGGTGCATTTTGTAACGCCCGCGCCTCACCCCCCCCCCACGCTCCCTGCTTACCTGCGTCCATCTCACTCCCACCTCAGGGTCTCTGCATATGCTAGTCCCTGTGCCTAGAATGTTCTTTCAAAGTTCTGTACCGCTGCGCTCTTAACACTGGTCTCAGCTCAAATGTCCCATCCCTAAAGAGGCCTGGCCTGGCCAGCCCACAGAAAGGCGCCGCTCCCCACCGAAGCGTCTGTCGGTGTCATCCCGCCACCTGAAAGTCCGTCTGTGTTCCTGGGCGAGTTGCCTTTCGCTCCCACTGAGCAAAAAGCAGGAGGACACGGCAGAGCCTAGAATGTGCCCGGTGCACTGCTGGTGTTTGGCTGCCATCAGCCTGTTTAGGAACCCCAGATCATCTCATCATGAGACGATTTAAACCGTGCCCCAAAGCGGCACCATCTGGAACACCGCGTGAGAGGAGCCAGGCTGAAACCAAGAACTGGGTGTGGGAGTCACTTACTGTCTTGATCAGGAAGGTCTTCTCCAGGGCACCCCAGATCTGCTCATCGGTGCAGTGGTCAAAGGGATCTAGGTTGAACCTGCCCCATAAGAGGAAGAGGAGGGCTCGGTCACCACACCACACACTGGACCACAGAGCAGGCTGTCTTACACAGCTCCCGACCAAGGATGGCTGGGACTGGACTCCTGGCTGCAGAGAAGCCCCTGGAACTACCATGAGTGCTCGTTGCTTGTGCCAGTCGGTAGCCATTCCTTCTGCAGGCGGCAGCCCCCAAATCTTGTTTGGGGGCCACTTGCTCCCCAGTGCCCAAACCCATGTGGTCCAGGTGGGGCTCTACCACACACTCCAGGGGTGGAGTGATTGACTACTCAGGTATAAGTCAATCAGCACAGGGCAATGCCTGGCTGGCCACAGGGATTGGTTGGGGGAGAAAGGTGACCAAGAGCCCATCCAGAGCTTTTAAAGCAATTACTGGAGAAGAGGCTGGCTCCACCTCTGACTGAACAGGACAGGCCGCAACCACCCTGCCTCAGGAGGGGACACATGGCGTCCCCTAGGGCCTCATGAGAGCCCGCAGAGGAAGCCATGGCAGAGTTAGGGTGACACTGGGTCCTAGATTCAGCCTTGGCTTTGCCAGTATCACGAGCCAAGAGGCCTTTTTAGCTTAAGCCATTTGGTGTGTGTGTGTGTGTGTGTGTTAGACTATACATAATGTAATATTTATCACTGTAACCATTTGCAGGTATACAATAACCTCTATCCTACTTCCTGTCTCTATGAATTTGCCTATTCCAGGTACCTCATGTAACTGGAATTATACAATATTTGTCCTTTTGTGTTTGGCGTATTTCATGTAGCATAATGTTTGCAAGGCCCAGCCATGTTAGAGCGTGTGTCAGGATTTTCATTCCTTTTTATGGCTGAATAATATTCCACTGTATGCACAGAACACGTTTTGTGTATCCATTCATCCATTGATGGGCCCTTGGGTGGTGTCACTTTGAGCTCTTGTGAATAATGCCACAAACACTGGTACCCAAAGATCCGTGCAAGTCCTGCTTTGAACTCTTGGGTAATACCTAGGAGTGGAACTGCTGGGTCATATAGTAATTTATATTTCACTTTTTGAGGAACCGCCAAATTGTTTTCTACAGTGGCCGCACCCGTGCAGAGCCCCACCAGCCATGCACAAAGAAAGGTTCTAATATCTCAACATCCTCGCCAACACTTACATTCCTTTTTCTTTTTTCTTATTATCGCCATCCTAGTAGGTGTAAAGTGGCACCTGGTGATGCTGGGGTTGGTTTTTTTCTGTCTCTTGCAGTGAAAAAATCCTAACTGATCATCCAGGAAGCTAACATCAGGGTGTGATCTCTCTGGGCTTTGTCCCCATTAAGGTTTGCACTTGGATTTGGCGTAGGCAGCTTTGCAACTGCTCAGTCCTAATCGGAACCTGTTCTTACCCTCTTGCTTTGTCTTGCCCCCGTTCTGGCAGCCACACACATATTTCGTGTCTAGAGCTTGATTGTATTAAAGAAGCAGAAGGTAGAATGTCTTATTTGCATGATTTGCTGTTTGATAGCCTCCAAAGCATTTTCACAGATGGGCTCATTGACACCCTCTCCCCCATGAGATGGGTACGCCCTTTTCATTGATGAGAAAATTATGGCTTATCAGTGTTAAATGGCTCATTCAAGGTCATACTACAAGTGAGTCTGAGAGACAAGCTGGAATCAAAGACACTCAGAGTTAGACAGAACCTTGCAGAGAAGCCAGTCCAGCTCCCCTGGACTCCAGCCCACACGCCTCCCTGCTGCAAGGGCGGGTATCACTGATTGAGGGGTTTGACTTCCCAGGGTTATAACGCATCTTTACTATCTACTTGTGTGTCTCCTTAAACAAGTCACTTTTCCTCTCTAAGTTTAGTCTCTTCACCTACAGAGGGGGGATAATAACGGTGACTGCCTCGGAAAGTTGCTGTGACAGTTACACAAGACAGAATATTAAGCACAGGATTGGCATATATAAATGCTCAATAAAAGTTAATTCATACTTTTACTACTCCTATCCCAAGACACAATAGATTTGGCCAAATTCTACCTTAATACAGAAATCCATCACTAAATGTTTCTCATGCCCCCTACTACAACACAGCCATTTTTAAATTCTCTGTTTGTGCACATATTATACACCTCACTGGAAAGACTTTCTCCCCTTTCTCTGCCAGGCAAGCTCCTATTTATCCTTCAAGATCCTGCTCAAATGTCACCTCCTCTGTGAAGCCTTTCTGGATTGACCCAGGAGGAGTTATTTGTCCAACTTCTGAGTTCCCTGAGCTCATATCATACTTTGTTCATATCTCTCTGATCTAGCAATTACCTCCTTGCATTATAATTTGTCAGGTATTATTATATCTCCACAACCCCTGCCCCTAACTACACTATGAACTCTTGGGGGGAGCAGGGGCAGTGGTCATTCATCAAAGAGTCCCCAGTCCCTAGCACAAAGTCTGGACCTGGCAGAGGCTCAGAAAAGGCAACTTAAATGGATGAAAGATGAATGAATGAATGAATGAATGAATGAATGAATGATGGATGGATGGATGGATGAATGGTGATGAGGGAATGGAGCTCTGGGGTCAGTCACCCTCTTGCCTCTAAAATGCCCCTTAAATATCCCTGAGACCTGATGGCTCTAGCTTCCTGTTTAGCACGTCATTGTCCCTCGGTGGCCATGCCTCGGTGGTCCCACACAGCTACCGTGCACAGAGTCAGGTAGGAACAGTCATCTGGGTGAACTTTAGGCCCCGAGCTGACTTCTGAGGAGGTAGGACGTGTGGAGAAGAGGCGGAAAGATCTCGTGTCTGCCTCACTGGCTAGGCTGCCTGGGTACTTCCCACGAGGAATGTGTACCCGCGAAGAAGCACTTCCTAACGTCCAGCCTCACATGTCCCCGTGGGCTCCCCGCAGTGGGTGGAGAGAAGGCAGTCAACCATCTCCAGACACGAAAGAGCACGGCAGCCAGAGGACGAGTTCTGCCTGGTGAACTGAACCCTGACAGATCCCATCAGGGTCAAGAAATAACAATCACGCCTTGCTTGTGTGAGGATATTACGGCTCTTATGTGTACCAGGGCCTCATTCAATCTTCCAGGACACCTCAGTGAGGTGGGCCAGGCAGGCCCGAGTAGCCCAGAAATCGGGGCGCTGGCCACCAGCTGACCAGAGGCAGCCCCACCCTGACACCCATCCTCCCAGGAGGCAGCCCTCACACCAGGCTGGCCTCTGGCCCCGCGCTCACCGGATGGTTCCTGAGAGCAGGACAGGGTCTTGAGGGATAACCGAGAACTTGGACCGCAGGTCCTCCAGGCCAATGCTGCAGATGTCCACACCATCGATGAGAATCCGACCTGCACTGGGCTCCACCAGGCGGAAGAGAGCCACCCCCAAGGAGGACTTCCCTGGTGGGCGAGAAACAGGGGCCTCCGTGTCCAGAGTTTGCACCGGCCACAGCACTGCTGGCACCTGGCGCGCACACCTGACCCGCTCCCCTCCGTGGCCCACCCTTTGCACCCCAAACCCCTGGCAGCGTTCTTACAGCCAAGATCCAAGGGCACACGTGGAGGCCCTGGGTTAAATCCAGCTACATATGTATATGTTTTGTTTCACACACAGTGTTACTGCACCTTTTAAAATCCTTTCCCAAAATTTAAAAAATCCAAAGATCCTATATATAAAAATTCCAATTGCATGCTTCTCTTGCAACAGTACAGGTGGCAACACCGGGCCCCATGTCCCCCCCAGACAACAGTGGCTGGAGCTGAGTGCAGCGCTCCTGCTCCCGAAGGAGAACTGTTCTCCAGCTCAGTCGCTGCCCGCTCCCCCCCACCATCACACCAGGCCCCGCTCACTCATCTACGTTACTTGCCAGGCCGCTAAGGCAACCTCTGCTCTAAACGCTAAGGTCCGTGTGGGTGGCAGCTGTTCACCTTATGTTCCCACTGCCTGGCTCCTTAGGGCTCAATAACTGCTGAGTGAATATAGTCAATTGGCCCAGGGCTTCTCTATGTCCGACCGCAGCCCTCTCAAGCCAACTACAGGCAAGAAATACAAGGAAACGCACTATATATGGCCAGAAGCGCTTCACCTGGCAGCAGTGTGAGTCCTGCGGGGGCCTGAGGAGGAGCAGACCCATGAAAGCTCTAGTCATCCGGGGCGGGGGAGGAGAGGGGGTGCTACCTGGAGGAGGCAGCTCCCGGGTGCACAAGGGTGGGACAAGAACCAAGTCTAGCGGTGTCTCTGAACGATGTCTTTGAACAGATCTCCCAAAAGTGATAGGAGAAGAAGGGAGGAAAGATGTCGGAAAGGAGAGGGGGAGACGGAGGCTGATGAGAGATCTAGGAAGGGAGGACAAGGAGGAGAAGGAAAAGGGGACCCAGATGTTCCTCTTTCCTGTCTCAGCTCCAATGCTGGCCTTAGAGCCCGGCCACCATTGCTCAGGACCCACCAACCGTTACTCTGTTCAACTCCTCCGTGGCACTCACCACAATCTGCAACTATTTCTTCTCTTATCTAATGATGTGTTTAACTGTCACCTCCCCTGGGGCCCCGTGACAGCAGGGACTTTGGGCTTTGTCCACCAGTGTCTGGCACAGGGCCCAGCCCAAAGTAAGGGCCAGCAGATATCCGTGGGGTCACTGAGCCAACCCATGCCCGAAAATGGGTCCAACACCCAAAGGCCAGAGTTGAGACTGGGATGCCCGGGACACTCCGCTCACCAGAGCCCGTCCTTCCGATGATGCCCACCACTTCCTCGCTGTGAATCGTCAGGTTGATGTCACTGAGGACAATGGGGGTGTTGTCCCTGTATTTCATCTGATAATCCTGGAATGTGATTTCCCCGTGCTGTGGCCACCCTGGGGGACAGTTCGCACCTTCGATGTGTAAAGGAGCCTCAGGGACACACATCTCGTTTTTGAAGAAAGAAAAATAAATCAATAGTTACCATCCCTCTCCGACCACCCCCTGCTGACCCACCCCAGCCTGCCCTGCATCGTGGCCAGCCACCGGCCATGCGGTCAGAGGGACACCCTAAGTGGAACATCTCAGCCCCCAGTGTCCTGAAAGGCACGTGGTTTTATCCCAAAAGAGTGATAAACCATATGGCTAGCCCCCTCGTTGTTAACACAGAGAACTTTTTCTATTTGATGTGTGGGGCTGGAAAGAAATAGAACCCAGAACACCGATAATAAAGGTGGCAGAGCTAACTGGCCCCGTGGGGCGTGGTTTACGGCTCCAAGCTCTGTGCAGACTTCGCTATCCTCATCCTATGACGTAGGCATTTTTAGATGCAATTTGCAGGCGAGGAAACAGGCTCAAACAGGCTAAACAACTTGCTTAAGATCACACGGCTGATGAGTGGCCAAGAGAGGGCGCTAACCCAGGGCTGCCGACTCCGGGCCCACGACTCTGGGTCAGGCACAGCTGGCTGTGTTGGGAGGAAAGGACAATGGAGAAGACGCAGGGTCTCCCGGCTGCAAGCCACAGCTCCCCACTGCCAGCGCGAGGCCACAGCGGTGTCCCTCAGGCTTAAATCAAAGCTCTATGACTCACAAACTCCACTCATATAACAGGGGCAGGAGACCTACCTTTAGAGGGCTCTGCCAGCCCCCGGCCATGGAAGCTTAAGCAAGATGCTTAATCTGGCCAAGCCTCGGTTTCCTCTTCAGATAATGGGGACAGTAATTCAATCAACCTTATGAAATGGTTTTGTGATTCTGAGATAGTCTGTATATAACAATATTGAGCCTTTACTGTGGGCCAGGCACTGCTAAGTGTTTACATATTACATTCTTTAATCTTCGTAATAATCTACCGAAGTAGATCCTATCATCTTCCCTATTTCAGGGTTGGGGAACAGAGAGGCTCAATAAGTTGCCACAGGTCACACAGCTGATTCAAGTGGCAAAACTTAGACTTGAACCCCAGGTGACCAAAATCTGTGTGCTTCATGGCTATGACATAAATAAAAGCAACAGTAATAACAATTATGATTATCACTATTATGATTAGACTTGGGCAAATCTTTGATCCCTAAAAAGGGCAGATTCCTCCTTCTACATCCAGGAATGCTGGCAGGTAGAGGGCATGGTCAAAGGAGCCAGTAGGTCTGGCAGAGCTTGGAGGGATTATGTATGCTGGTGTGGGGACCAAGGGCCCGGAGCCCCAGTCGCCTCCTGGGAACATCCCCGGGCCCCGGGGGTGCTCGCCTGCAGAAGCCACAGAAGCCAAGCCCCAGGCTGAGAGGTGGAGCTTTCCGGAGCTCCAGCAGCAAACCCAGACCTGCACCCACCTTTATGTACTGCAGCATCCTCTCCAAGGCGGTGAAGTACGCCTCTGTTTCCGAGCCTGTGCGGGCCGTAGCCTGGAAGATACTCGCCAGCTGGAACGGAGGAGAAGCGTCAAGACAAGTGGCTGCTGGGAGTGTGCAGGCTTCAACACCCTGGCACCTGCCCGTTGCCATAGCCCCTCAGACCAAGACCATTGCCTACAAGGATGGAGCAGATGCCTCTGGTGGCCCTGAGCCCACTCCTGAGTTTAGGTGCAGTTGGCGTGGGCAGCCTGACACCGTTCCACCTCAGTCCCCTCTGCTTTTGTCCACACCTCAGGCGCCCACGCAGCCCACGCATGGTGCAGCGAAAACACAGGGCAGCGAAGGCCTGTGGGAGCAGCCCTCACCTCATGGGGAAAGGAGCCGGGAGGTAAAGCTGCTGTCCCTACGACTCCAGGGGACAATCCTGGGAGCGTCCTATATGCCTCTCAGGAGATCCCAGTAGTCAAGTGCTGGTGACCTAGAACGGTGACCCTTTTTCCTCTTCCTGTTTCCCAGAAGCATCGCCCAAATCATCGACTTGCCCCCAAGTCGTTGCATCAGGCTCTGCCTTCAGGGGAACCCAGGTCTAGAGGAGCCTCAGGGACTCTCTGGAATTGGAGGCCCCACAGGCGAGGAAACGGAGGCCCAAAGAGGGGAAAAGCAGCACACAGAACACCCGGAAGCTAGGGGCAGAGCTGGGAACGGGGCCCCAGTATATACGCTCAAGATCTGGGGACACCGGCCGTGCAGAGCACTGGACGACAGCTTCAGGATGCACTCCGTCACCAAACCCTGACGGAGGGCTGTGGACAGGGACAAGGCCAGGCTCCATGCCCCAGAGTGCAGCAGACACGGACGGGCCCTGCCCTCTAGGAGTGCCCAGCCGGATAGGGAGACAGACTGGGCAACAGAGACCGGCAGCATGAGGGGTGCTCTCCAAGAAGGAGTCAACGTGGAGAGCCCTCGGGGCCCCCGGGATGGTCACCCAGTCAGGGGCTTCCGGGAGGGCTCCTGGAGGAGCTGCTCTGGAGATATGTTTTTAAGGAGAGGGGGGAGTTAGCAGGCTAAAATTGGCTAGAGAAGCGTGCCCCAAATAGAGGGGACAGCGTCCTGAAAGGAGAAAAACAGCAGGGCCCTGCACACCGTTTGGCTGTGGCTGAAGCAAAGGGGCAGGAAGGGGAGGGAAAGCCTTCTGTGAGTGGGAGGGGTGGACACCATCATGCGTGACGCTGAGCGGGGCAAGGAGGCCGGGTGAGGCGGGAGACTGCCTTTCCCGTCAGTGGACCAGACACGCTGGTTGCCTGACCAAGAGCTGGCCCCTTCTCCCTTCCTTGCTACACACCCTCCATGACAGTGAGGTGCCCAGGGAGGCTCAGTTAGTTCCACCAGTCGTGTTAATGCCACACCTCTTGCTAATGACTGGTTTGTGAGCCGTGACACAGGTCCAGCTGATGAAGCATGAGGGAGAGTCATGTCGGAGTACTTGGGACACTGTTCCTTGTTCTCAAAAAGGACATTGTGGAAAAAGTATGTCCTCTGCAGCCTTTGACAGTTACTGGGTGATGATGTGTAGCTTGGGGCTGCAGCCGCTGTTTTATGAACCTGCGTAGATAACCCTGAGGACAAAGCCAGGCTGTGGATGCCAGAGCAGAAAGATAAAATATGGGTTCATGCTCGGCCTCTAACTCACCAACAGAGGACAGCCTTCCCCAAGCCCTCCGGTTATGTCAGATCATAAGTTCCCAGACGGTGGAGGCCATTTTGAGTTGGTTCCACGGCTGGCTTTGGTTTGCAGCCAGGGGCGTCTCTAGTATTTACTGAGTAACCTCTTAGGGCTGTGTGATTCCTGCTCCCAAAGCGTGACCGTGGTTTCCTGGAGGGTGCGTGCTGGAGTCAGCAAGGTACCAGTTTGATCAGAGGAGTGAGTGCAGGCTGTGGTCATGGGGCCAGATGTGAGGGGCCTGGAAGGCAGGGCCCAGAGCCCAGACCTGGCGCGTAAGCAGACAGGGAGCCTGGAGGTCCTGGACAAGGCAGCAAGATGAGAGACGCCTCCCTGTCATCCAAAATCACTCTGGGGAAGTACGTAGGAGGTGGAGCAGAGAGGTTTTCAGGGTGGGCGGCAGGCGTGGGGGCTGGGAGAGTGCTACCCAGGATAGAGATGACATGCTCCAACAGGACAGCAGACGTTGAGAAGAAAGGATGAACCCAGGGCCGTTTGGAAGCCAAGCCAGGCCTCCAGGCAGAGCTCCTCACAAGTGCCTGGGGTGACGCAAGCTGGGGAGACCTTCGAGCAGGTGACTGTGTGCACAGTGAACCTGGGCTGTGAGCCTCTGCCCTCCCACCCTGGCACAGGCTCAGGACAGCCTTGCCTCTGAACTTTGCCCTCCTGGCAGTGTCATGCGGCAGCCAGGGGGATTTCTGGACTTAGTGACTCCACATCCCCTAGGACATCAGTTTGGCACCTCTCCCCAGAGCTCTGGGAGGCTTGGGAGCAACTCTGCACTGGAGTGTGTGAGTGTGTGTGTGTGTGTGTGTGTGTGTGTGTGTGTGTGTGTGTGTACGCACGCGCTTGTGGGCGTGCGTGTGTGTTTTCATGTATATGTGCATGTGTCAGAGAGCAGAGAGAGGGAATGAGTATGTCCCACCATGGACAGATCTGTCGCCTGCTAGCTGTGAGAACATGGGCAACTTAAGGCTCAAAGTTCTAGTTTCCTATCTGTAAGTCAGGGACAGTCATAGCTAACATTTATCGAGCATATATTTGGGTGTCTAACATGCATCAATCCTCACGTTTACACACATTCCTCACAAGTCCATGATTTGGGGATTTTTATCCTCTCCCTTTACAGATGAGAAATCCTGGGCACAATCCCCGAAGTCACACTGCTAATGGTGGCGGAGCCAGGTGTGAACCTGCACGTCCCCAACCACCCATCCATACCCACCTCACCGTGTCCCCTGGCACGTGGTGACATTGCCATGGAAGGCCGCACAGAAGTGCCTGGCACAGCAGCTCCGCACCAGCTCACCACACTGGTCAGCTGTCTGCGAGTGTGAGCACCGCACAGCCACCCTGTGTGGCCTGTGGAAGGCCCTGTGCACGCAGGTGTGGATGAGGGCGGTGTGTATGTGCAAATGCGTGCCTGCCGCAGGGGCTGAGCAAGGAGCATGACGGAGCCCCTTTGCCTGCCCCAAAACACGCCCCAGCACTGGGGCACAGCTCTAAAGCCAAGAGGAGAGAAAGCCACACTAGCGCAGACAGGAAGGACGGTTAGTGAACACTGCCTAGGGGAGGGGCGCCCTGGAGCTCTGCAGTCAGGGTTCCCTGAGATGGCTGCTGAGCCGGCCTCTGGCCTCACAGCCCTGCAAGGATAGCCCTTCTCCAGGAGTCTGTGGACATGAACCTTGACCAGTCAGTCCCTCTCCACACCCCAAGTGTGCCAGGCATGGAGGAGCTCAGGCTGTAAGGTATGCAGGCTCCCACATCAGCATCCCCAGGGGAACCTGTTTTTTAAATTAGATTCCAAGACCCTGCCCAACCAGGACCTGACTCGGAATCGGTAGGGCCGTGCTCTGGAGCGGGGTCTTCCTGTCAGCCCCACAGGGACCCAGGTTGAGTAAGCCTTTGAGGCTAGGCCAAGGGTCCTGTCTCAAGTCTTACACTCTTTAAAGTCCAAGAAGCCCAGCTCCAGGGGAGGCCTTGGACCCCCACCTTTTTAATAGCCTCCTCAGCTAACTCAGAAAAGCTTGACAACCGGATCAGGGTCTGCACAGGAAAGTGAAAAGACACCAGCCAGGCAACCAGGAGGTCAGCGTTTTTGCTCTGTCTACTCAAACACCTCCTTCCCCTTTCTGGGCCTCAGTTTCCTCCTCTGCAAATAAGAGTGTTGGACTCTGTTGCCTGTGGGCTCCCCTTCAATTCCAGTATTCTGTGATTTCACTGAATATCTTTGAATCCAGACTTCCCAGTTGACAAGGGAACTGAGCAAAGCAGCAGATTCAGAAGGTCAAGAACATGGCTCATAAGAGCCAAACGGCCAAACCCAAGATGTAACCTAAGTCCCATCGATCCCCCGAGTCTTCCCACAGGCCCAGACCGAGCCCCCACTGTCCCAGAGTCCCTCCCTCACCTGCAGAACGAGGCTGAGAGCCATGGATTTATAGGAATAGGCGACCGAGGAAGTGCCAAAAGCCACAAACAAGGCCACGGCCAAGGTCACCAGGTTGCTCATGAGCTCCAGCCTCAATGCCACCCATCGCGTGGAAGACAGATACATCAATTGGTAGTTATTCTGCACATCAGTCAGTCTTTCAAACCTGAGAAAGAAAGGACAACCTGGAAACACATGTTTGTCTAACCCAGGAGTCCCAAGGGTGGACACCAGGTGCTTCCTCCAGCATCTGGCCTCCACCCCCACCAACAGAACCTGCCTTTTCTTAGGGGATTCTTTCCTCTCCCGACCCGACCAGCCATGGCATCAACCCAGCCCCAGGTTAGGCCTCTCGGCACCTGCTCTTACCCTGGCCTTCCTGATTGGTCCAGGGGTGGGTAAGTCACCTTCATTGGGCCAGTGAGCGTGAAAAAAGGTCAGCGTTTGCGAATGCGTAAAGGCAAGTGGTCCTTACCTGCCCACCCCTGAGCGGGGGCTATGTCTGTCCTGTCCACTGCTGTGTCCCCAGTGGATGCTGAGCACCTGGTAGGCAGACTCTCAGCATTGGCTGCAGGAGTACATCACTCAAGGATCCCTTAGTCCTGTCTGCACAGTCCCAGGTGCTAGCCAGTGCCACTCAGAGAGCTGGCGCCATGGTTCTGCCAACATCCCAGTTAACTGAGCACGCCCTATCTCCCAGGCCTCAAGGCCAGCTCAGGTGCTGCTTCTCCCCAGAGCCTTCCTTGACTCCCTGAGCCCCCAGCTCCAGCTCATCTCTTTCCCCTCTGCGTTCTCGTGGCGTCTTGTCTGCCCCTCTCCTATGCTCCTGTCCTACCATAGTCAACCCTGGATTGTTAAAAAATAGCTATTATAATATTTCTGTGTGTCCCATCTTCCACCAGATTGTGGGCCTCCCGTAGTTCAGGGCAGACCATGTTTTCTCCATCTTAACAAGCAGATGAGTTCATATTACACAATGAAGCCACAGTAACGGGACCTTTGTTTACATTACAACAGACATTAGAAGGCAAACCTATGGGTGTGACTCTTAAAGGAAATTCTGTTATTCAGAAAGCTATCGTTTCTTAATATATTATTAAAATTAGATACCTGTTTAAAAGCAAAAGGAAAAAGAAGAAGAGAAGTGCTGACACAGTGATGCTTCTTACTGTTGATTAGATTAATATGTGTGCACGATGCACAGGTGCAAAAAGGTTTACACACATTTTCTGTATCACTTAGTGTTTATCCTCATGAGCACCATCTTACAGATGAGGATCTGGAGGCTCAGAGAAATCAAGGGGCTGGAGCAATGTTCTCTGGGACAGCTGATGCTGTTCCCAGATGCGCCACGCCTGGCCTGTGGCCTCCCCCTACCCACAGCCCCATCGCCCTCGGACGGCTGCAGGAACTCACTCGTTGATGAAATCTTCAGCTTTTCCGTAGACATGGATGGAGCTCAGGCCATGCAGACAGGTGAGGATATGGGAGAACAAAGGCGAGCGGCTGTAGTTCTCCAGCCTCTTGAACACATTAATGGCCTTCTTAAACTTCCTGCATCGAGACTGAGGGTGAGTGACCTGGGCCCCCCACCCCTGGGGTCACCCAGGTCAGGCTGGTCCCAACTTCGCACCCCAAGTCCCAAAGCCCGTTCCTTCTCAAGCCAAAAGAACCAACTCACGCATAATAGATGAGGCACACGATGGCCAGCACGGCTCCTAAGAGCAGGATGTACAGAGACAGCACGCTGACGATGAGCAACTGGGAGACCGCCGTCATGAAGAGCAGCATGAACCCCTCGCTCACAATGGGCAAGAACTGGTCCAGCTTATCCAAGTCCCCCGTGAAGCAGTTCAGGAGTCGGCCGGTGGGGATCGTGTCAAAGAAGCTCATGGGGCAGCGGGAAACCTGCAAGGGGCCGCGGGGCCGCTCACCCTTAGGCTCTGCAGAGGGGCAACCTCAAGCTGTGGGTAACAGCATGGGCTCCCAAGTCAACCTGCCTGGGCTTCAGTGTCCCGGCTCCTCCACCTACTGCTGTGTGACCTTGGACAAGTTACTTAACCCCTCTGAGTCTCAATGTCCTCATTTGTAAAATGGGAAGGAGAATGTTGCTTCATAGAATTGTGGCAAAGATTGTATAACTCCGTAAATATACTAAAAACCTCCGAGCTGTATAATTTAAAAGGGTGATTTGTATGGGTATGTGAATTATATCACAATAAAGCTTTTATTTAAGAAGGAAGGAAGGAAGGAAGGAAGGAAGGAAGGAAGGAAGGAAAGAGAAGAGAAGAGAAGAGAAGAGAAGGAAAGAAAAGAAAAGAAAAGAAAAGAAAAGAAAAGAAAAGAAAAGAAAAGGAAAGAAAAGGAAAGAAAAGAAAAGGGAGAAAGAAAGGTGGGAAGGGAAGGAGGGAGGGAGGGAAAAAGGTAATACGTTGAAAGTGCTCAGGGCCGGCCAAGTGGCTCAGTTGGTTAAGAGCTCGCTCAAGAGTGTGAGTTCTGAGCAACAGCGGTTTGATGCCCGGCCCGAGCTGAGCTGCTGCTGAGCTGCCAACAGGTGGCAGGATGGCTCAGCTGGGGGAAAAAAAAAGTGCTCAGAAGAGTGCCTGTCCCTGGTAGGCATTCCATTAATACCAGCTCTTACGATGGCCTATGATGGGACTATTTGCACTCAGGGTCACCAAAGATTAGTCGCAGCAATGCCACTGCAAAGATCAAAGCACATTTCATACCAAAGGGCTCTAGCGAAAGCATCTAGTTCGGCGTCCCCGCGTTACAGATGAGGAAGCTGAGGCTCAGACACAGGGAAGCTGCCTAGAGGTTAGCTCAAGGTCACCCAGGTAGTTAGTGGCAAAACCATGCCCCGCCGGGGCCTCCCAAGGCTTCTCCGGCCCCCAGCACGGCCACGGGCTTCCCGGGAGGCCTTCCGTGAAGGCTCAGGCGCTGCTCTGCTCATTTCCCCCGTGTGCTTCTCAAGCCTTAACTCAAGAACTTAACTTCAAGCCTTAACTTCAAGAAAAAGACATGGATAGAAGTCAATTGTCTCTGTGAAGAACCCTCCGTCGGGCGCACCTGATCTCACAGATTCATTGCACACAAATTTTCAAATATCTAACAGTTAAGTATCGTGACTCATCGCTTCCGTGTCTTCCCCGTCTACTGGAACCTGTCACCAGTTGTGTTTGTGACTTAGTACAGTAAAGACGTATTTCATAGAGGCATCTTGTGTGCCATGAATCTGTGAGATCGGTTGCGCCCGATGGAGGGTTAAGGCCAAAACTAAAGGAAGGAATGAAGGAAGGAGGGAAGGAGGAAGAAAGCGCATTTTGACTCTTAATAAATAGTCATTATTTGAGCCACAAAGTGTCCCTTACAGCAGCTCTCAGTGCAAATGCCTGGTTACGGCTGACCCAGTGTAGTTCAAGGTCATGTTTGCTCTCCAAGGTGAGGGGAAGGAGGAAGGAGCAGGTCCAGAGGCCCAGCCGTGAGCCTTCTCGCTTTTTCTGCCTCTAAATTCTCTTTCGTTTTATCTCCACAATCTCTTGTTAAATACGTGAGCAAAAACAATAAGAACTGTCACAATCACTTTGAGAAATCAAAGTGCAGAACCATCAGCCCCTCCGGGACCCTGAGCTGGCGTGGGGGGCTGGGGGCGGGGAGAGCGGCACGGGAGCAGAGCTGGGCTCCGTCGTGGTGTGAGTGAACCAGCTTTCAAGAGCCCACCATCTCTGGGGACTCAGGGAAAGGGTTAAGCGTTGCCTATTAACTATCAAAACAATCTGTTTCGGCTTGTTGTTTTGGAGTTGAGCCGATCTTCTCAGAGATTTGTCCTTTACTTGTGATGATTGAAAACGACACAGGCAAATTTAAAATCAGTAAAGCCATAACAGGACAGAGAAAGGAAACTATTTTGAATAAGACACATTTTCTAATGGAAAAAAAAAACTGGAACATTTCTCAAAATTAGAATACAAATGATCATTTTGAGGCCTGGGCACTGGATATTTCTAGACTCTTGGTGCGTGGAGTCAGAACCTTGGAAGCCATGGAGACAGCGCCCCCACCACAGGCCAGGCTCAGGGAGAATCCCCCGTGTGCATTGAGTCCACAGGAGGCAGGCATCCTGCTTGCTGCACACTCCGAACCCCAGCCTTCCTGAACACTGTTCACTCCCCGGAAGTGCTCTGCTTCTGTTTGCCTCCTGAGCTTGAGCTGGCTAAACCCATTTTATCTTTCGGGTCCTTCCAGAGAGGTCCCTTCCTCCAAGAAGCCATCTTGGACTGCTATCCTTCTTTGCAGCACCCCCGTGCTGGGCCTGTGTGCCCCCACCTCGTGGGTAACTTTGTACACCCTGTTACAGCAGCCTGTTTTCTTGTCTGTCTCCCTCAATAGACTACAAGGCCATGATGGCCCAAACCACACCTGCATTGTGCACTCACCATGCAAGCCCAGTGCCCACCGTGGAACCTGGCACTTGGTATTACCTGATACGTGAGAGAGGGCGATGATGTTCCCAAGAGGCAGTGTGATACCACAGACAATCTGGTCTTCTCCTATGTCATATGAGGATAGTGATAGGGAACTGAGTGCAAATACAAACACCTCTATATGACAACGCTCAGCCAATGGAGCCCAGCATTGGTCTGACCACTGGCCCTCCAGCAAGGGACGCTGGATTGTGAGATCATGGTTCCAGCTGCAGAAGAGCTTCAGAGTGACTCCTGTGGCCTGCCCCCATCCCTCTCGCGACCCAGTGTCCACTTTCAACTCAGTAACATTCTGGAAAAGGCAAAGCTATGGAGACAGTAAAATGCTCCAGGGTTGGGGGAAGGCAGGATGGATGGGAGGAAAACAGAGGCTTTTTAGGGCCATGAAAAGTAGTCTGCATGATACGTACTGGTGGCTACATGTCAGCCTACATTCACCAAAACCCACAGAGGGTACAAGACAAAGCAAGAACCTTAACTTAAGCGATGAACTTTAAGTGATGATGATGATGATGACGATAAGTCAATATTGGCTCACCGATTGTAACAAATGTCCCACACTAGTGCAAGATGTTAATCATAGGAGAAAGTTGGGGCTGGTAAGGGGCATGTGAGACCGCTCTGTACTTTCCACTCCATTTTCCTTAGAGCAAAACCTGCTCCAAAAAGTAAAGTCTAGCAATTGAAACAAAAACCAATGGGCAAGGTCGGGGCTCAGCCTGTGGCCCCGCCCCGCCCTGCCCCACCCAGGCCCCTACCTTGCTGAAGAGCTTGTTGTGGACACCTGTGGATGCCTTCCGCGTGACCTTGGTGTACACCACCGAGTGGCAGACCCCTGTGAAGACCAGGAGCAGGGCGCTGAGGCCAAACACCACTTCGTAGAAGACCAGCTGAGGGTTGTCCAGGACGTTACCTGGGTCTGCAGTGGTTCTGTTGTTCTCCCAGCTGCTACTGTTCTGCAAGAAAGAACAGGGGTGTGGTATGGTGACAAACGCATGTGGTCCCCATGCCCAGTTCCTGGCACAGAGCTCCTAAAATCCTGGGGTTTTCCTAAGTGATGAGGTCCGGGAGTGTCTTTTGTGACGATACTTGGCCTTTCACTCTGGTTCCTGGCACAAGAGCTTCCGAGACCCTGGGTGTTTCTGGAGCCATAAGAGGATCTTTTTGTAGCTAATGAAATGGCTGGTGGCTGGGGCTTCAGGCTGGAGGCTGGTCATCAGGAAGACCAGGCCATGAGTAAAAGCTTGGAACTTCTAGCCCCACCCCCATCCTCCCGGGCTGGGGAGGGGGGCTGATGGTTACGTTAATAATGGATCATACCCTATGTGATGGAGCTGCCATAAAAATCCCCACAGAATGGGGTCCGGAGCGCATGTTCACGTGCCCGGATGGGAGCGCCTGCGCTCAGGACCCCTCTGGACCGTACCCGATATGCCTCTTCACCTGGCTGTCCATCCATGTCCTTTATTACATCCCGTATAATAAACTGGTAGAAGTATTTCCCTGAGTGCTGTGAGCCATTCTAGCAAATCATCAAACCCGAGGAGGGGTCACAGGATCCCCCAATTTATCACAGGTCCGTCAGAAATCTGGGAGGTGCTGTCTCGGGATTGGTGTCTGGAGTGGGGGCATCTGTGTGTAACCTGGGGGGTCTGTGTGGACCCCAGGCAGTTAGTGTCAGAATTGAACGGAGTTGTAGGGCACCCAGCTGGCACCTGGAGAGCTGGAGAGCTGGTTGGTGTGGGAGCAAGCCTGCTCACTGGGTGTCAGAAGCATTGTGTGTGAATAATCGAGAAGTACAGTGTGTTTTCTTTTTTAGGGGGTCAGACCACCTGAGTCCAGGGTGAAATTCAGTGGGGAGAAAAGTCCTTCTTCTGAGGGCCACATAAGATGCAGTGGCTGGCGCAAGGTGAGACCATAAGTTAACACCTCCCTGCTCAAGGTACAAAGCAGCCACAGGGAGGTAGAGCACAGCATACGGAGTACAGTCAATCATACTGTCATAACTGTGTGGTGCCAGGTGGGGACTAGACTTATCGGGGGGATCATGCCATAAATTATATAAATGTCTAACCACTATGCTGAAACTACTGGGCTGTCGGAAAAGCCATGACGTATTTTTTTCTATGTTTTTCGTTGCAAAAATGGGTCATGACTTTTCCGGCAACTCAATAATATGAAATAATATTGAATGTCAACTGTAACTGAAAAATTAAAAATGTTTAAAGAAAAAGAGGTGAAAAAGAAGTCTAACCACTATGCTATATACCTGAAACTAATATAATATTAAATGTCAACTGTAATTGAAACATAAAACTTTAAAAAAAAAAAACAACCCACAAACCTCTCCTGCTTTTCCCTTATTCTCCCTCCTCACCCCGCTCACACCCTGGACCAGGCCCCTGTTGTCAGTCGCTGGACCACTCCTACCAGGTCCATGGCCCTAACTGGGCCCTTCCCTCTACTCCATCACCCACTCCACCCTCTTTGTCCCAGGGCAGCCCGCTTTCTAGTGAGCCCCCTATTTCTTGTCGGGGCAGAAAATAGCTTGATAAACTGCTTGCCCGATGCTGTTAGAAATGTGTGCTGGAGTACCCTGTATCATCATGACTGCCTCCCTCAGCTTTTCCCACACTCCTGGCAAGCATGGTCTCGGGTTAGAGTCCGCCCCAGAGAAGCACCCACAGGAAACCTAAAAGCTGGAGCATAAGAAGCCATCACATGCTGGTGGAAACTGTGGATAGGCACTTGGGACCTGGAGTGTGGCCAGGGGCTGACAGGTGGCCGTTTGGAATCAGCCTCTTCAGGGCAGCCCGCTGCTGACATCAATGGGGCGCCTTCCCCTCTCTCCGCCAGCCCTTCTGATAGTTGGCCAGCCGCTAATTCCTGTACTAAATCTTTAGAAACTCTACAGACTTCAAGTGGCTTCTGTTTTCCAGACAAAACCCTGCCTGACACATGACTCAAGAGTTGCCCAAGCAGAGCCCTGGGAAACATGGCTTGGGCTCTGGCACCTTCAGGTCACCGGCTCTTGGTGCTAAGTGCAGTTTCCTCATAAATGGGGACGTGATGGAGAAGATGAATTCATTACCCAGGCACATAGAGGCTGACAGTGCTGGAACTCTCAACCCAGAGCCCCGTGTGAACCCCTGCACTGGGAGACTTGACCACACTCTAGCACGGCTTCTGGGGGGGGGCATACTTTAAATAACGCAGAGAGAGAAGGCAAAACTTCCACCAACTGAAAGAGTCACTAAGATGGAATGTAAAGCATTCTTGGGGTGCTATCTGGGGACAGAAACCTCCTAGTTTTGTGCCAACAAGACCGCATGGATGAGTGCTCATTCTGTGACCACAGGAGGTCAGAGCCAGGAGGGAGGAAGCCCCCGGAATTCTGGTCCCTGGAGGTCCCCCCTGGAGCTCCATCGGTCATCTTGGCAATGGCAGGCTCTGGGCTGGTGGTGAGGGACCCCAGGTCCCCTCCTAGGGTCCCCTGGCCCTCAGAGAAACCTCCCCACTCCAAGCAGGCCCACAGAAACATGCCCCACTCCCATCAGGATACTCACCCCTGAGCCCTGCTCCAACCAATAGCTCAGCCACCAGAAGTTGAAGACCATGAGGAGGACGAACACCAGCATAAAAAGCAAAACCATGAAAAAGACCATGTAACCTGGGGGGGAGAGGGCAGTGACACACAGGTGCCTCAGGAAGGTGCACAGCACCTGGTGACGAAGCTGCCCCTCCACCCTGGCCCCTTGGGCCTCCCTGACCCCCATCCACCGCGGGTACCTCGAAGGACTGGAAAGAGTTCGGTTCTGACATCGGAAAGCCCTGGGTTCGAACCCTGGCTCTACTATTTACGAGCTACAGGACCCTGGGCAAGGTACCAAATGTCACGACATTCTACTTCCTTACCTATGGGATTGGTGATGGTAGTCATACCAGCCTCGTGGGCCACTCTGAAGATGACACGAGATGATGTGTGTCAAGCACCCAGCCCAGTGCCTGGCACACAAGTGCCATTCTAGAGAAGGTAGCTCCTCTTACACAGTCCTGAGGGTTCACTTTTCACAATAACAACAGCTACTGGTATATAGTCTTGTGTGTGATATGCCAGGCATCGTACTAAGCACATGCATCATTCCTGAGTTAGGGATTCCTATCCCATTTACTGAGTCTCCAAGAGGGAAAGTCACGCCCCAAACTACAGAGCTGATGAGTGGCAGAGCTGAGATTCAAAGGGGCCAAGGAGGGGGGGGGACCCAGCGTGCAGCCCTCCTTCCAGCATCTTTCATCCCAGCTTTCTACTTGCCCATCCAGTCTGTGTCCCGCCTTCCTTTTCCCAAATCCTTCCCACTCAAGGGCCACCTCTTCTCTTCTTTGATGACATCTGAGACTGTGCCTGGCTCCAGAGATCTTTCTCGCTATGTAGTGGGTGCAAATGTCCAGCTAGGCTTTGGATTGGTTCTGAGATGACTTTATACCCTCTCCCCTCCAGAGCTTGGTCTGCACTAGGTACTCTGTAAAAACAGATCAAGTGGTAGCTTGATCGATCCGTGCATTGCACAGGTATGTGCCATCCCCCTGCTCTGGCCAGGCCCTGTGCGACAGGGATGCCCGTGGCGGAAGCGGTGGGGCGGTGATCTCCGATGCACACCCTGCCTCTCACTCCCCCAGACAGGTGGAGGGGAGACCCGCCTTATAGGGAGTTAGGTCCCAAAGTCAACAAAGAGTAAAAAGCTGGCATTGAGTCAAAATTACTCTCAGAAATCTCTTAAATTGCTCAAAAACTGCAGTGTGATACACTTGGTTTCGTGGTTGTGACATTGTACAGTGTGCGTGTACATGTGTGCATGGACTTGGTAATGTACACCAAGTGTACATTAACAAAGCAGTAGCTTCAATACTTCTGATTGCCACCCGCCTTCAGAAGCACATTTTAATCCCATCAAAATAAAAGCGTCGCCAAAGTTCCAGTAGGCATGGGTGCCGACAGTCCATTCTATCCCACCCCATCTCTCTCAGGGCTGCTTACCATCCATGCAACTGACTTCGCCACCCGCTAGTAGGTCAGGGCCGGCAGTTTGGGAAACACTGAAATAGAGTTCTGTATTGACTATACTTTCTGATTTTTGTATCCTGATGCTCTGGCATTGGGGCCTTGATCCTGGAGAGACTGCCCTTCCCAGGGCCAGCTAATTCCTAGAGATGGCCAACAGCTCCCTGTGGGGATACTGGTGATGCACAAACCAGCCCCCCACAGCCCACACCCTCACACATCAATCAAGCCAATATGCCTCCTGCCCTATATCACCCCAGGGCCTGGCACCAGACAACCAGGGGCCACCCCTATAGCCCAGAGCCCTCCAAAATTATTCAGATTATCCAATCTGAGCCTGCTCGGTCACCTGCCCTGCCTTCCCCACTCTTTCTCTGAAAGCTCCAGTGAAGCCTCTGAGCCACACCCTCTCTTATCGGCCTTCCCTGTGTGGCCCGCACGGCATGCCAAGCCTGCTATTTCTAGGGACCTGTGACTATAAACTTCTGCCTTCATAACAATGATTTCCATGTCTCCATGTCCCGAATAAGACAAACCCAGGTACATTTTAACACAAGTACACGCGAAAGCATAACTTCCAGTGCTGGCTGTGGTGGTAGGGTTACTGTAACCTTACGCGTGTGGCTGGGATTGCGCAAGGTGAGCCCATGTCCAGCATGACTCCTCTGTGCCTCTCTACCTCACGTGGCCGCGCACGGTCCAGTCTGACCCAGCTTCAGGGGCTGCCTCCAGAGGGAAGCCCAGGCCGGGCGGGAGGCAGCTGGCAGACCTTACCTCCGGCCTCCTGGATGTAGTGGTGGTAGACGCGCCATCTCAGGGACCCTTGCTCCATGGTCTCCTTCTGTGTCAGCTGATTCTCCAGCTCTGGGGCAGGGGCAGAGAAGAAGGCCATGGAATGCCTCCCAGTCTCCCGCATCTCCACCAGCGCCAGGGGGCGGGCGTCCTTGCAAAGCCTTCTGCTCCTGGCTTCCACCCTTTTCCAGCTCCCTCGCCGTCCACCTACAGTGCCCCACCCAAGTCTGACGGGAACCAGCCCATTTTCCGTGGACGATTCTGTGGAAGGTAACCTTTGACCTGGACTCCAGAGTCTGGAAAGGGGGTCCATCCCCAACTATCCAGTAAACCCTGGAGGGCCTGGAGTTCCCAAGAGCCTGGTGGGTTGAGAGAGGCAGCTGGAGAGAATGAAAAAAGCAATGACCTGGGACCAGAAAACTGAGTTCCAGAATTGTCATCACGGTACTATACAACCTCAGACAAATCACTTAACCTCTCTGTGTCCTCATCCGATAACTGACAGGCCTATAGATGGTTGCTGAGATGCTTTATGCATCAATACACTTCCGAGACAACTGCCCCCAGAAAAACATCTGGGACACCAGCCCAGGCAGATTCTTGGCCTAGAGCAGGGAAGGTAGGTCAGTACCTGGAGATGCCAGTAGATACCACTGATGACCAGAGCCAAACAGGAAGCAGCACCTGTGTCATTTCTACCTGATACCCTCTCTTCTTCTAATAACCATATCCCAATGTTTCCTGGACTTTGAATCTTAACAGAAATTACACCAGGATGGAAAATACTTGGAGTAGATTTTCTTCCAAAAGATGCTGTGCCTGCGCCTGCTCTTTAAACCCCGAAGCTGCTGAGGCCTGACTCTTCAACGCTTCCCTCCATTCTGTGACCCATACCCTCGCCTTCCAACTATTTTTCTGCCCAGATCAGTTTCTGACCTTCACAGCCGAAGACGCTGTTGGCGACAGGCACTGTGCTGGGGTTCTCTGCCCCCGACCTCCTCCAATCTCCACTACAGTCCTGCAAAGTTAGCACCGTTACCTCCACTTTTGCCAATGAGGGTTCAGAGAGGTTAAGTGGCTGGGCCGAGGTTGCACAGCTTTGTAAGCAGCAGGGCTGGAATTCAAATCCAGAACCTGTCCGACTTTGAAAACGGAGGGCTTTCTGTTCTGCTGCCCTGCCTCAGAAGAGGGCAAGGCCCTGAGCTTGTAGACTTCAGGCACTGGGCCCAAATCATTTCTGATTTCAATACCTTTGTTTTCAACGCTTGTTCTCCACAAACACGTAATGAAAGAGAGTCCAAATGCCTAGTAGGGTTTTCAGTTTATGCCACTTCCAGCCAAAGCTACCCCCCGTCCTGCCTGGGCCTCCACACGCCCTCAGCTGAGCCCACTGGATCCTTCGGGCCTCCTGACCAGCACAGGTCACACCCCACCGCCCTCAGCTGCTTGGACGGGCAGCCTGGATGTATGAGCTCTAGGATCCCAGACAGTGAGGGACAGGGCCTGGTCTGGGGTCCGGGAGGAAATGCCAGGACCTCTGAGAGACCCAGGCAGGCACCAAGATGTTCTCGTCTGTCCCCAGCAAGCGTTACCAGTATTGTCATTGAGCGGCTCTTCCTGGCAGGTGGCCTGGGCCTGACCTTCTACCTGTGGCCCCTCTGCTGCCTGTACCATGTCCTGAATCTTGTCCTGGGGAGAAAGCACCAGCCATGAGTGCAGGGGCCGCTCCTCCCGGCGGGGCGGGGATCACCTGCGTGGCTTCCCTGCGCATCTTCTGGATGAGATGGGCGTAATGCCCCTTTTTCTGCACTAGCTCACTGTGACGTCCTCTTTCGCAGATTTTCCCCTCTTCTAGAAAAATGATCTGGTCACAAAACTGTAAATACTGAAGAGTCAGAAGAAATAAGGTCTTCAGTAAGCATACAAAAGACATGTTGAATTTTACCACTCAAAAGGAAAATGTACATTGAAATCCTGACAGAATATCATTTTATACCACCAGGTTGGCAAAAATGTAAACGTTGGACAACCCCAAGTGGTGGTGGTGACTGGAGGTAAAGGGAACTTGCGTAAAATGAGAGTTGTGGGGTGGGGTTGTAGATTGGTACAACTACTTTGAGAAGCAATTTGGCCATATCTAATAAAACTGAAGACTTTTGAAGAATTATGAACCAACAGTTCAACCCTTAAAACTCTATCCTAGAAATAACTCTCAAACGTGCCTACAGACACATGTAGAAGGATGTACATTGAAGCACTTTTTGTAAGTGAAAAATGGGGGGGGGAACCTGTGCATCCTAGAGACATAAGTTCTGGTAGTTCCAGATATTGGAATATTAGACCAGCGAGTATTAAAGTTACATGTATCAACATGGAAGACCTCGAAACCATAATGTTGAGAGGAAAAGCAAATTAACACAGGACCGGAAGTAAAACATCAATTCTATGCGTCTTTAAAATGTGGAAAAGGAAACTTGGTCATGTCTGAAGATTCACACACACGTTATAAAGGTGTGAAGCCGCGCCCCGCCACGACGAGCACCACAGCGAGGTGAGCACGACAGAGGAGCTGGAGCTCCACCTAGCGGTGGGGGGGGGTCCATGTTTGATGGGCACATAGGTTTTCATTCGATTGTTTTCTAAGCCTTTTTTATGTCTTAAATGTTTAACACCAAAAAAAAGTAAGGCCAAAATGCAAGTAGAAGAGGGAGAAACACTGATAATAATGTCTTGAGGCCCAAACCAGGTATGGAAATATCTGGGGGAAAGGAGCTATGAGAGGCAACCCCCGGTGCAGCCATGGCACTGGATAAGAACGTGAGACGTGGGGAATTCTTCTTCTCTAAGGGATGTTTTTTCTTGTTCTTGTTCTTTTTCTTTTTTTTTTTTCAAAAGCACTGGCCCGCGCATAAAGTTTTGAAGGTAAAGGAGACCTTAAAATTTGGTTTTGATTCTCAGCAGCCTATCTTCACCGTGTGGAAAGCAAAGAAAGGAAATCCGAGGTCTTTACAACACTCCCTGAATGTGGGGGTCTAGTCTGAGAGGAAGGGGTAGCTGCTAGGAGGCTGAAATGGCTGGAGGGACTACAGGATAGGTCAGTCCCGGCCAGACCCCTGGAAGGGCGGTCACCTGCAGCTGGTGGGTCACCAAGACGACCGTCTTCCCCCTGAGCATCTTCTTAATGCACTCCTCGAAAATGTGCGTCCCCACGTGGGCGTCCACGGCCGACAGGGGGTCGTCCAGCAGGTAGACCTCACGGTCAGAGTAGACGGCGCGGGCCAGGCTGATCCTCTGCTTCTGCCCGCCCGAGAGGTTGAGGCCCCGCTCCCCGATCTGCAGGCAGGCAGCCAAACGCACGGTGTCCAGAGGGCGAGCACAGCCAGGCGTGCTCAAAGCAGCCGGGCGGGCAGATGGGACGCATTGGACCCCCCAGGGCACTCCCCCGACGCCAAAGGATTCGCCCCTCCT